TTTACATTATGACTGGAATAAGAATAACGTTTGATAACAAATATAATGGGTTCTTTCTTACCTTCTGCACTTATCTGTAAAGTGTTAATACGTATAATTATTATTTGAAGCTTTCTTCTAATTCACACCACTATACGTCTAACTGCATGTGTCATTGCCCTGCGTGCTTCAATCATTAAGTGAAAACTCAGATGTCTTTCCAAACGACCATATATGAATCCTATGATAACGAGTAGTTGAAGTTAACTCGGGTATTTCTTGATTTATTTTTTGAAAACTTATGAAACATTCAACCGACCATTTAACGAAACCATGCTACATAACTAGGTAACATTATAATTTATATTTTCACTTCGCGTATTGGAAATGTGGCAGTCAATGAAAGCAAGTAATGATCTTTTGACTCACACAAATTTCGACCGAGCCGTTTCTTTCCCATTACTTTACGACATATTTTCACAAGAACATATGTCTCGAGCCCCTGCATCATTCTGCAAATTGCGCGCATACGTTTGCTCAAGCCTACTACTTTACAAGATTATTATATACAAATATGGTAGCCGATATTTCGGATACTGAACTGCTCTCGCGTGTGGTCTCTCAACAAAACAGAACTAAAAGTTAAAATGGAACGCTCCTTCGACACTTATACGTCAGTCATACAGTAACAGGAATTACTTCCTGATCTCTATGAGAAATCGTATTAGGTAGATTTTACAGTTGACAGAGTTCAAAGGCAGGGTTAACCGAGCCAAGTGGCTCAGTACGTAACGCACTGACTTCGCAGTTAGCCATCCTGACTCGGGGTTTTCGGGGTTTCCCTCGGTCATAAAACGAATGCTGGGATGATTAAAAATGCCGCGATCACCTACCACCAGCCCACCTGCCACCTCCTACCATCATCCTAGTCCTTTCACCCCTCATAATCGCCCTATCACTTCATTCAGCATTCCCCGCAAAAGGCAGGAAGCCCTTCATCTTAATGGGATATTAGTTGGATAATAATAATAATAATAATAATAATAATAATAATAATAATAATAAT